TTCCCCAAATGGATCCAAATGGTGGATTGACCCATTGGAAACTATTCATTAAAAAAACTTTTTTTTTCAGCAAAAAACAAAAATGCTGATCCTGTAAGGGGCAATTTATTGACACTGCAGCCTCCTTCCAGGACGGTGATGCTGCCAGGATGCTTTGTTTTCAAATCAAACTCCGGATTGGTGTAGTACCTGGTCCCGCCGGGTGACTTCAGGAATCAGTGGGTGGTTGGCCCAGGTACGCGATACACAATTCCAATTGTTTGATTCTGCTAGGCACGCATTCTGGTTCTACCATGTTCTACCATGTGTTGCCATTTTTATAGTCCTTCCCCTCATCCCCACGTCTAAGGTATGTTTCTATGCACATGGCCGTGGGTCACCCTCCATCCTTGATGAACCTCCAAAAAATGATTGGATAAATTGGTAGGAAGTTCAGCTACCCAAATCATGGGTATAAACACGTGTGACACGCACATTCGTTAATGAGCATAAATGTACACCCAACAAATGCATACCTACATATACCTACAAATATAAAATACACGCACGCACATTATATAATATATAATATAATAATAATAACTATCGTTATTATGATTATTCCTATTATTTTTAGTTTATTACCAGTCAATTGGATATTGATTTATGACTCCCTCTCCCTCTTTAGGCCCAAGGGACTGGACCAGCTCGGAATGATGTTTCACGCGGCCTCCAGGCCAGCAGCCAAGGTGCATGGGATGATCATCGCTACAGCAGTGATGGAATGTACCCTCTGGTTATTTAACATAGCCATGGAAAATGGCCCATTTATAGATGTTTTGCCCATTAAAACCTCCATTTATAAGGGTTTTCCATGGCTATGTTAAATAACCAAATGGTAATTGATATATACTTATAAAATGGGAAATGAGTGGTTTGCCAGATCCAGTCTTACTAACCTGGATTTTTTCTAACCTTATTATTGAAATTTCCAGTGATAACCTATATGTACAATAAAGATAGATACCAATATGTACATGTGATATATCATTGATATATACGTAGTTAAAAACATCTTATAAAATGGGAAATGAATCAATGAACATTTGATGTATTGTGGGATTATCGACTCGATCCTTGAATTAGATAATGTGGGTAAAACAATGTCATAAACCATCCCCCAATAAATCACCATCATTATAGGTGGTATGGTTACCATTCCCAGTCATGGGTGGTTTATGGCATTGTTATACCCACATTAACGGAAATATAATTTAATGTATTGTGGGATTTGGGGATGTATCATGGACAAACACACACATACATACATATATATATATTTATAAGGGGAATATATATATAATATATAACTTTAGCCAGCAACAATATATGTTGCTGTGCTGTGATGGTCAAGTTTCGTCAAAATGAATGGTCTATCATGAAAGGGATTCCCTATGATCGGCATAGTAACCCCAAAAAAGGAGGGATGATTACCAGGCACAGCTATCAAAATGATGACCATAATGGACCCACGAACGGCTAACCAATTGTTAAAGCTCAAGAAACGCAAAAAACTAATTAATGTGGGTAAAACAATGCAATAAACCACCCATTTGGGAATGGTAAACAGACCACCTATTTATGGTGATTTGGAGGATGGCGTAGGATGGCTTATTATTGTTTTACCCACATTGTCTAATTCAAGGATCGAGTCTATAATTTTGAGCCAGCTAGAAAAAATCCAAGTTAGTAAGACTGGATCTGGCAAACCACTCATGGATCTGGGAGAAACGCACTTTTGGGGCCCGCCGCCCACAATGCCATCATTCGCTACATCTTCTACAAGCAATCCCACACCCCTAGTATTACCCGGAATAATGGGACTGATTCATATTGAACCAGGGTTTCTAGGGGGATCTAGGGTTATGACGTCGAGAGACCCTCATTGGAAAATGGGAAACAATTATATAACATTATGAAAAACAAACACACAAAAAAAACACATGGGTTGGTTTTTTTGGGTTGCTTTTTTATCTTTTTTGTTTTGTTTATTTACATTGTTTGCTGGTTTCCAGTAAAATGAAGCATTTTGCATCATAAATCTAGACGGGTATTCAACTCAATTTAGGGGGAGATGATTATTCACGAATGGTCATATTCTCCCTCCCTCCCTCCCTCCATCCCTCTCTCCCTCTCTCCCTCTCTCTCTCTCTCTCTCTCTCTCTCTCTCTCTCTCTCTCTCTCTCTCCAGCGCCATCTCTCAAGTTCAGCGAGGCTGAAGGGGCGCGTGTGGCCCAGCCAAACAGAGCCACAACTAGACGACAAATAGCAGAAGTGAAAGTGTACGAGTGGTCATTCTGTATGATAGTACATGTTGGCTCTGGGAGCGTATGATGCAAGACCAAGCCTTTGATGGACGTGTCTTTTGGTGGAGGATCACCAGCCACCAATTCGATTCAACATGCCACATGTATATAACCAAGTATATATATATACATGTGATGACGCTACAATTATTATCAAGGTGTACTATGTATCTGGGTCTAGTTGGTACGTGGCACCAATAGTCAAAATATAATATGTCAACATGTGAAAGAACTGAGTAAAATGAGTATATAAAACATATGGTCTGAACTCAGCAGTTTTGTCTGACCAAATTCAATTCATCCACCACTTCCAACGATTTCCCGGTGTGCCTCTGCAACAGCATCGCATGAATTTCGAAAGAATCACCCCCCTGAAGGCTCACTGAGCTGTGGTGGCAATGTGTAACATGTGAAAAACATGACGAAACCCTCAACAAAGATAGGAAGATGTCCTGCAAAGATATGACGAGAAGTCCAGGCCAAAAAAGTTGCAAATTTGAATCAAATCTGCTGACAGCGAGGATTTTGAGGGTTGTAGCAGGGGGATTTGGACAACTGCCCGCCAAGGGACACCACGTTCAAGCCCGGGACCATGAACTCAGTAGCCGGTGAAAATCGGGGCCAAATGTTGGTACAATCTAGGCAAAACTGATCTTTCATCATCCAACAGAAGAAACAGAATAGAAGAGAAGAGGTCTACAGGAGAACCCTGTGAAACGTATAGAGATGTATAGAGAATTGTTCCAAAAGCCTGTGAAAGGCATCACATGATGTATGGCAATGATATGGCATCCTTTCCGTTTAACCCGACATGTTTGAGGATGGTTTCCAATTATTGGTGCCAAAGCCCGGAAATCAACATGGGTCGCAGGGAAGAACCGCTGAAAACGGGAATTCTATATACTACTAGTACCGTATAATTACTAAGGTTACTGAGTCACTCAGCAGGAAAGAATCTGTCATGCAGTACATGAGTAGTAAATATGACAATCATTCCACATCCCCGCTAGCAAAGAAAGACCCACTGTTGTTTGTTTTGGCCAACTTTACCTCCATCCTTATCTTTGATGTCAGGGTCTACTCCTCAGCTGTGCTACCCTGAGAATAGACCAGCCGACAATCGACTGATTGGGGACTAACAAATTAATACCATTCGTTTTTCTGCTCGGTGTGTATATATATATGTATATATATATAAACGCACACACACACACACATGTATGTATGTATGTATGTATGTATGTATGTATGTATGTATGTATGTATGTATGTATGTATGTATGTATGTATGTATGTATGTATGTATGTATGTATGTATGTATGTATGTATGTATGTATGTATGTATGTATGTAGTATGTATGTATGTATGTATGTATGTATGTATGTATGTATGTATGTATGTATGTATGTATGTATGTATGTATGTATGTATGTATGTATGTATGTATGTATGTATGTATGTATGTATGTATGTATGTATGTATGTATGTATGTATGTATGTATGTATGTATGTATGTATGTATGTATGTATGTATGTATGTATGTATTATATTATTTATATATATATGTGTTTTATTTAATATTATATATATAATATAATTTATATGAATATATATATATTATAATATATATACAGTAATAATATTATAATATATATATATACATATATCCCACCAATAGTGACAACAAAGCTGCGACTACCGTCTCTGAGCAGAGTTGCCATGTTCAGCAGGAGGTTCGTCAAAATGGTCGCTCCAACCACCACGTACCTTGCCACACTGAAGCTGGGATTCAACCGCATGGTTGTTGGTTTTATTCAAAATTGTTCACTTAGAAACAAAGCTTCAGATTGAATGCTTTGATATTCCTCCAGCACCACCAGCACCATAACAATAATACCAGGGAACAACACCAACACCAACACCAACACCACGACGACGACAACATGAAACGCCAAGAAATGAAGGGATGGAAGTTGAGTCTCCACTCTGCGAAATTGCCATGTTTGGATTTCATGCGAATGCCAGATCCCAGGAAGGTGGTGACAAGTGAGTCAAAAGGGCCGTAGTATGCTATAGTTATATGACATATGTTCATTCAAAAAAAAGGGCTCATGCTTCTCATATTATGTTCTTGAGTGTCGGCCGGGGGTCAGGGGAATGATTGATCTGGATGACATGAGTTTGATGTTGCATAGCTGGCAAGAGGTCACAAAGCAGTGTCCAAAGATTCCAAAGATTACAGCGGATGGTTTCCACATGCTCATCATGCTCTACTCCTTGCCTTACTTATGTTGGTAGTGAATCCCACAACATCCAGGCTGTAGGTCCAAGCTGCCACCCTCGGTTGATGTCCGAAAATGGGCCACGCATGAGCATGTTCCCAACGCCAGGAATCACCGCAAGGAAATCGCGCCTTGGTGCGGTCATGTGCGGTCTTGGTCTGGAGAGCTGTGATCCAACTTCGGATGCACGCATACTGGGGATACACTCACCATCACCCATGTAGCAAATGTGTTGCCTGAGATTGCCTGAGCATGGCTGCCGCAACTTCTTTCTTGATATGGCATCAGCATCACTAGGGGCGATGCCAAATACACCTCGTCTGTGGTGAAATCTATCTGATGACTCAAACTTTGGAGCCACCAAACTCGCCACAAGACAATGCTTGCGGCATTGAGCCACACAGGCCCAAAATTCGTTCTCAGGAGCTTCCTCAGCTCAGGGCCCCAAGGTATTGGTTGGTGTTGATCCCATGTCACTGCAGATGTATTTAGGCCATATGTGTGTATGTGTGTGTGTATGTATGTATGTATGTATGTATGTATGTATGTATGTCTGTGTGTATGTATGTATGTATGTATGCATGCATGCATGCATGCATGCATGCATGGATGTATGATGTATGTATGGATGGATGGATGGATGTATGCATGTATGCATGTATGCATGTATGCATGTATGCATGTATGCATGGATGCATGTATGCATGGATGCATGGATGCATGTATGCATGGATGCATGGATGCATGCATGCATGCATGCATGTATGTATGTGTCTGCGTGTGTTTGTGCGTGCGTGCCTGTGTGTATGTGTGTGTGTGCATGTGTATAGTTTTAAGAAGAGTGAAAACATGATCCAGAATTTCCAGAATCATCCAAAATCTCTGGTTCTGGTTTTGGCCTCAAATCGTTTCGTTTCATTTTCTTATGCCTTTGTGACGGGAATTGGGCTGGCCCAACTTCGGTAAAGTCGGCATGATCCCAACTCAGGACTGCATGAATGAACATACTGGCAATAGTAACTGCTCCGTGTGCACTCACATGTTTGTAACCTGCGACCTCAGGCAAGAACTTGAGGCTGAATTGGAATATATAAGGACATATTGAATAGGAGCTTTTCGTGCATTTTCTGGAATAGGGCTGAAAAATAGACTAACTGCATCTGACTGCCAATTGCATTTTTTTGGCAAAGTAGGTCTCAAGACATCTTCCTTGAAAACTCAGCAATTGAGTTCCCTCTTGCATGTGCAGTTCAGGCCATTTTTGAAACGTGTCAAAACAAGTCGGGCGAGTCCGGGAAACGGGCGAAAATTCGCGAGGAAAGGCGCCATTCGGCGTGTCGTCTGTTGGCGCATCCGATCTAATCCAGTCCAATTTCATCAGGATGGAAAATGGGGGCGGTTTTTTAAACAGACTGTTTTCACCTTGGAATCACCCAGCCACGTGACCTTTTGTCAGCCGCTTGACCTTGTCACGCTCCGTTGGGTGAACACATGCCTGGGATCGAAGACGTGGCGCCGGCACAGTAAGCCACACAAGAATATGACGTTTCCGCTTAAGCCCAACGGGTGACATAACCGGATGTACAATATTGTAAAATGAGATGTATATGAATATATCATAATATATCGATCGTAAATGAATATATGCTCATTGGGGTCGATAAAGGGATGAAATAGGGCCCGATCATGAAGGAGACATGCGGGGGCTTGTTGGGGCCACAAAAATATCTTCATTTTCCAGCTGAAGGACCAATAAACCTCCATCCAGCTGGCAAATGCAAAAGTCCATCTGGCACTTCGGCAATCTTCAGCACATAGCTCCCCTCACTAAAACGAAAACGATTCTCCACGGGTCAAGTGGATCCAACATCGTCAACTCGTGGCGGAGGCGGTGGTCGTTGTTTGCCTTTCGCGCGTGGGAGCCTTGGCAGGGCGTAAGAGGAGAACGTGTCGCCAACCACAATCCAAAACGAGTTTGAACTATCGTTGTGTGTTCCATCGCATCCGTCAAGCATCTTCCCAGCATATTCAAAATCATGATCATATGATCTTTATCATCATCATATAATAAATTATAATAATGTATCAAAAGATCCTTCAACTTGATAATCCACTAGAGTACCCATAATATGACCCACGATGAATGGTTTACCATGGTTTCCCACGACCTTCCCACGACCTTCCGCCAGGCGTCACTCGCACGCGCCCCGCGTTGCTTTCGACCACCGCCCAGGGCACCGACAGCTGCTGCAGCCGCTGTAGCACTGCGGTGCGCAGCGGCGGACCTTGGGCCCAGGACTTGCGCAGTAGGCCCAGGCCGAAGATCAGCTCCAAACCTGGGGATCTGGCGAAATCCTGCGGAAATTCAATAGTGATCTTCGGTAAATCCCTTAAAAATAGTGATGTATGAAAAATTATAAGTGGTGTACTATTGTGGTAAACCTAGCCATTTAAGGGGATGGCTCAAAAACCAGCCATTTATGCTTATTTTATGGATGGTTTACCATTAGGTTTACCACATTATTGTGTATAGCTATCCCCCCCCAAAAAAAAGATAGAAGTTTGTAATTAAATTTAGTTAAATCAATTATAATCAATTGATATCTTGATGGAGCGTTTAAGGGAAGATCTAGCGGAACCTCACTGGCTGTTGCCCTTTAAATGTGTCCTGTAATTTTCCCATCATCCAAGTCTGGGAACATAAAAGAGCGGGAGAGATGGAATTCGACAAATGAATTTGGGATTTCAGGTTAATTTAAGCATACTTTAAAGATTGGATTTGAATGGATGTATATAACATTATTCAATCAGGTCATTTTCTTGTTGAAATATAAAACGGTAGGGATTTTACCTACACTAATAATCCTACAATATTATATAAACTAACCAAAAAAATACCAAAAACAGAATCATGGATTCAAGCCAAATAAATCCAAACAAAAAATTGGGATTGAAATTTTGACAAGAAACAAATGTGGTAAACCCAACGCAACCAAGTGGTACTAACTGAGTAAGAGCCAGTAAAAATTGGAACTCAATGAACCAAACCCATGGGATTTCAGTACTTGATGGTGTTTTTGTTGGTGACATACTGGGATGACCTTGCAATTGCATGAGCAACAACACCAGGGATCCAACGAACCACGGGGCTTTAACTGTTCTCTGCTCATAAGGATGGTAGATCATATCATCCCAAACTGTACCCCGAACCATCCGAGATAACCCAAGGAGCAAAATGGTCCAATAAACCTACCCTAAGGCCTAGGATTGTGTAGCTCTTCCCCCTTCTGCACCTCCCAACTCTCTTTTCCCCTCTCATGCCAAAAATCCCAGTGAGTGCCGTCCACTCCAATAGCCTTTCTGATCCAACCACCAGGAAATGGCACAACGCGCGGCACCAGGAGACAGGTCGTGCAAATCCAGCAGGTCAGAACCTCTGGCTAAAAGCCTCAAGGCTGCCCAGGGGTTGGCGCAAGCAGCTTCAACTAATATTTACAAGTAGCTAAGTAGCAAGACAAGACTACCAAAAATCATGGGGGTGCCTCTTGACATTATCTCATATTATCTCCACTTTCATGAGTTGTCTGAGTTGTGTAGACATGAACTGAAGACGATTCAAGAGGGCTCGCATTGACTCCGCCAATACCAGTGACTTCAATGGACTGCCAATTTGACGGACTGCCGTTGAAATAGCTCCAAAACAACCATCAGATCGTGCCCAGACAGCGTTTGCCAAACAGGTGATTCCATTGGTTTCACAACGTTCTACGGAAAAATCGGTAACATGACATGTCGAGCGCAGCCTGGGTATAACCCATCTCCCTGCCCAGAAACCAGGGATATGCCTTGCTCTCCAGGGCCTCCTGGAAGATTTCCTGAAGACTCAGTGGATCGATTGGTCAAACGACTTCCGCACTGGATGAGAGCAGTCAGCAAGTGTACGGAAATTCCGACATTCTCCCTAGACTTGGGACCTTTAAAGTTCCAAGTTTTTGGTGCAAACCACTGAGAAGGGACATCCTGCTGACAATCAGCCCATCATGCCCACTGCCTCCATGACCTTCTCTGGTGCATCCGTGGCATTGAGAACTGCATTGAAACTCACGGTGTCTGGCTGGTGGGCAGCCAACTGCAAGTCGCCTGCAGTTGTGGGCCCTAAGCGGTTGCTAGCCTGGATTCTGTGATAATGAATCTGATGGTACAACTGATTGACTATTAATGGATCTGGGTGGGCCATGGTGGACCACTGTTTCCCCTATAAGGTCCCTATTGCGCCGGCGAAATTTCCAGGGGACTCTTCACAACCGAAATTCAATGCCAACGGATGCAGCCTAGCCGCTGAACAACCGCAAGGCAGTGGGCCAATGGACCGAAGCTGATTGGATGCTGCTGTTGAAGCTGATGAGATCTGGTTGAAGCTGATGATGCTTCGCCTCCTGATGCTGAAGGATTTGTTTCAAGGCCACTGCGCAAACCTGTTGAGGACTGTTGGATTCCTGAAAGGTGTGAAACGGAATGTCCAGAAGGTCCAGAAGGATCCAAAACGCATAAGTCAAGATCTCACGATGAGAACAGTGAACCTCCACCATTTTATGGCAGCACCATGCAGTGCCGGTCCTCCAGAAGCTGGATGGTCCATGGCCACTGATGGCCCTTCTCGCACGCACTCAAGGTGGCATTGAAGGTGAAGAGATTTGAAGGATCCTTGGGTCACGCTGCAGCCCAGGGTGACCATTTTGTTGAGGGGCACCATTTGAGTAGCAGATTATCATCAATCATTATCAATTATCGCTATATTTGGATCTACTGGGGAGGTGGTACTGCCTATGCAATTCATTAATCAAAGAGGAGGATGTGTTAATCCGCCGTTGACACTATACTATAGTCTCGAGATGTTTTGAGAATGAACCCAGATGTCTTGCCGGAACAGATATGCTTGAATGGGAAACTGCAGTTTCCCATGGTGCATCACGCAAGGTCCCAAATCCCAAACCATCTGGAAAATGATCTTCGTTGTTGCGACCCTTCGCACTGGTCCTATTTATGGATATGCATGGGAAACACCAAGAAAAACATAGAAAAACTATAACCAGTTAGGTCAACAAACTCCACAGGCCACCGAAGCGCGACCTCCGAGTGACAACCAGCTGACTCTGCCGGAAAAGTTCCAAGGCCTTTGGCCACTGCGAAGCCTTGCCGCAGGCGCTCAACGCGCTGCAGTAGACCCGGCCGTCCAAACGATCTCGGCGACCTGGAGCTCAAGGGCGGCACTTGGCCAAAAAATGGTTTCAACAAGGGATGCATCTGGATGAATTCTACCAGGACCAACCTGAAATACCTCGATTTTGGGATTTTTTGGGGATATGTTGGACATTTTAAAAGATGGGTTTCCCTTGGTTTCCCTTGCCATGTGCCAAGCGTCAGCGCTTCAACAGCTCCAAGGCCAGTATCCACTGCAGGCCCTTGTCGCAGGCGCTCAGGGCTGCGGAGCAGGTGAAGGTGTTCGGCCGAAGCTGCCTTGGGTCCGTGACAAATCCTCAACTGGACCTGGAAGTGCTGCAAAATATGGGAGGAAAAGATGGAAACGGATGGAAATAAAGTGGAAATCGAGATGTTTGGAAAGATCGATGTAGAAATTACCGGCCGACATTCAATGTGGAAGTTGACTTTGCCAGCTGAGACGAGTAGGGATGTCCCGTGAGGACCTGGGAAAGACAACTAAAAATGGCTAAGAGTACTTGCAGTAATGTGAGATATATATATATATCCATACGTATATACATTAAAGATTTGACACACCCAGGTTGCAAGTCTGACAACTGCATGCAGCAAAGGGGCAGCCTGCCCATATCAAAGAAAAATGCAAGTGCATTCTGCCACCTTAGCTGTGTCTTTGGGGGCTGGAGCTGGAGTAAGGCCCATTCATTCATTCATCCATTCCATTCCATGCCATTCCATTCCTTGTTTCATTCGTCCCACTGCACATTCACAAACAGGATTAGTGATTAGCCTTCGACGTGCTTCAAATCTCACAAACCATTCCATTGAGAGCACGTATCACATTGGCAAAGAAGCGAGAGTGGAACCACAGAGAAGAGGAATAGAGAGGCCAGATGTCAAGCAAATTATAGATGTGCGGCATCACGTAGCGCAAGAGAAGAATCAAAACAATACTCAAAGGATCTCAAAGGTTGAGGAAGCAGAGGAAACCAAGACCAAAGACAATGCAAGCCAAAAAGAGAGCACCTCATCCCCAGACCCTGGTGGCAGGTCCCTTACATACTAGTAACGCCAATTAGCCATATCTCAGGCGGTCAACCCATGTCAAGCCTTTCTTGATCGCGTCAAAACTTCCAACATCAGCATCATCCAATTCCAGGTCTGTAGCTGGGGTTGCAGTTGAAGTTATAAATGGGTATGTAACCACATTTTTTTGGGGTTGTATCCCAATTTGAAGGAGTTGTTGCCATAGTTATACCATGTTATACCCATCAATAACCTCAACTGCACTCCCCCAAGTCTGGTTGACATAGCCACCTTTAAGCCCAAGTAGCTGGCTGGCTTTGGACAGAACGCTGATGGCGCTACCACACAGCACTGTGTCCTGATGCGGGAACTTTCAGCCGTCAAGACCTTGCAACCTGTTGGTATCCAAGAACCATGAAGGTACTGATAATCTTACAGATCTATGAGAATTCATGCAAGGAAAAGATCCAGGATCCTGAAGGATCTGAGAAGTTGATTCTTGGGATATCAACACCCCCCAAAAAAAAAGGAATAAAACCAATGCAATGTTTTGAGATTCTCTTCTCAAGCCCGGTCCTGCACCCCATTGTGTTAGAACAATAGTTTCTTTAGCAATAAACACACAGACACACACACACTAGACAAGAATGGATCATTATATGATCCGGCAGGAACTGAATCCTGAAACATGCAAACCAGCCTAGATCGTTAGATTTATAAAGGAGCCACATGAGGTACTTCACGAAAACGATGTAGGGTATCCAATATTGTCAAACGGAGTTTTAACCAGAGTCCACAAAGTCTTGACCAGCATGTTGAAAATCCAAAATAAGAGTGTTTCGGCGATGGTTTCCCAAAATGACCCAAAGTTCATCGGCGACATAATCTCGGCGAAAATAGGTCAAAAAATCATAATACTGTCGGCGACATGGTTTCGGCGAAAATCTGAGGAAGGTTCTGATGCAGCTGAACTAATCGAAGATAACCAAAATTGATTCCAGATTGCGACAACGGTGCAGCAACATGACAGCTTGTTCAACAGTTCAAACCAAATTCTGCAGGTACACAGAGTTGATCAGACTCTGCTTCCAGCACAAGTGGATAGCTTCGTTGGGTGCAGTCTCCACTGTGCTCTGCACCCCCCTGCAAATGTAAAAAGATTCCCTGCAAATGTGAAAAGGTTAGAATCAAAGAAGTTTTACATCTGTTCAGATGTTACACACACACACACACACCCCGCGTGTAGCGGGGTTTGATTTTTGGAAGACCATCGCTGCAAATGTCGGCAAGATTATTCAAATACAAAAGGCTTTTCCGGTGCTAATGTACACAGCCGCGTTCAGTCACTCAGAAGGGAAATTGGCTTCAAGTTGAAGTATTTGGATCGCTTCACGGAAGCTCATGCCTTCAACCATCCTCCACGTTTCGTTGATTTCCCCAGATGCCATAGCAGCCGTCAAAGTGGTTGAAAGTTGTTTGGCCAGGTCCTGGATCTTCGGAATGAGGCGGGTTGCCTCCGTAGGTGTAGTGGTCTCAATGGGAACATTGTGAAAAGGATGATGCCCATGAACTAGAGGAATCTCAAAGTGATGTCGCCAATAATCCGCTGTGCGCAGGGACCACTCCCAGTTGCCCGAAAGACCATAAAAGTAGTGCTCGGGGTCACGACATTTGGAGAGCCCCGACATGGGGATCTCTTCGATGAATAACTCCCTGGTATTGTTGGAGTGGGTAATGATCTTGAATTGGATCTGGTGGACCACGCGGGATGAGAAGGGAGCACGATGGAAGTAGTGGTATGCAGGACTTGGCTCCGTCGGAAAAGGGACATCAGGAGGTGCGAAGCCTGAATATGTATCAGAATGGGCCGCAGTTCCAATGTCGGTAGTTGTACTGTCAGCTGCCAAAGGTGCCGAAGTGGTCCCGGTAGTAGGGTCAGGAAGGCCAGAATGACATAGTGCAGAAGCCTGGGCGTCTGGTGCTTGATCTGGGTTGGTGGGAGCGAGTCCACGGTTGGGATTCGAAGGCCAAGCCAAGCCCGCCACGGTAGCGTCTCGTTTATGCTCCATGGGTGAAACGATCAGAAATGCGTGAAATGGTGCGACAAAGGCTGAGGCATCAAGAAATTGCGAACATAAGCCAAGCCAGAGAATAATAATAATAATGATGATGATGATAAAAGTGAAGTCCAGTCCTCAATCAAGTGGTTCAAGGTCCACGGAAAGGACAAAGCTCAAAGCCTAACAAGGTGGAAATCAAAGAATCCTTTGTGTTGATAAAGTGTCATAGGTAAAACGAAAAACCCTTCAGCATGGTCTTTTTTGGCCAGTGAGCGTATCAGGGCAAGATCACACCGGGGCTAACTTTGTGGCATCGCAGACGTAGCACGAAAGGCTGTGAGGTACCCGGAATGAGCAAAGAGGATTCGCTGTAGTTGTACTGCCGGAGTCGCCATTCGGGTCGGTATTCCTCCAAAAGCTGCAAGATCGTCATGTCATTGGAGACTTGAAATGTATCACCTTCCAGGTCGCAATAGCCAAACTCCAAATTCGAAGGGTCAAGTTGGATGTCCCATTGGGACTTCAATCTTTTTGAGATACAGAAGCGTAGTTCGCCAGTGGGAATGAGGCCGGCTTCAACTGGTTCCATCTGACGTGACCAGGTAAACAGAGCTTCAAGTTCGTAGCCACTAACATTTTTGAAATTTGAGCTAGCCAAAGCCATGTAGTGTTCACGGTCAGGTTCGCTGCGATGAGTCAATTCCTGTAAGGGAGAGTAGTCAATCAAGATAAGAACAGGTCGGTTTGGAGGCGGGTTCACGTGACCAGGAAGGCCTCGGGGTCCAGCAAGCCATCCAACATTTCGGGTACCCAGTGGTGTCTCAACCGTGGATGTAGCGCGATATGGATGGGGCCGAGAAGAATGAGCCATGGCGTCGAATGTCGAGTGTCGAATATAAAGCGGAAAGCCCAAGCTGCAACATAGACTGATAATGACCATTGAATAAAGCCCAAAATTTGGAAAATGGAGGGAAACGGTGTACCTAGTGAGTAGTCACAAAACGACGGGTAGTCACTGTTCTTTTCCGATGCCGACAAATAATGTGGTGTATTACACACTGGAGTCAGACATATCCATCGGGCCAGTATCGTTCGCATCCAATGGACCATGTACTTGTTGAGGAGAAACGGTAGGGCGATTGAGATGCAAGGTGCGTTGCAGTGTTGCCGGTGGTGAAGAAGGTGGTGTAGATCGCCACGGTGGCCAAAATAAAGAGGTGGTGGTTCCTTGAGAGTGGTGTTGGGCAGAACGTCCCCAGCATGACTGTAAAATATGGAGTTGGTCCGGTATCGCTTCGTACGGTTGGGAGACGTAAACGTCGGCATGTTCAGGGTGTGGGAGAACAGGAACAGCAGTTGCCGTAGAGGAGGAGGATGATTGGATTGGTACATCATAGTATCGGCGCCAATGGTTAGCCGTAGTACGTAGGGTAGCACGATCGTTGGTGAGGTGCATGTTCTCCAGAAATGTTTCCACTGGCTTCCACGTTTCAATACCATCAAGTGTCCTTTCCACGATCCAAAGTTCATCCGGACGAGTAGACAAAGGGTAGCTCAGCTTCTTGATGAATACGGAATGGACAGTTGTAGAGGTTGGGATCATTCGCGCTGCCCTGGGAATATACGATGCCGAAGTAGGATCATCAGGTGGGAGGTGTGGGACAGGACCATGTACGGATGTAGGTGAGGAACGGTGTGAGACCAATCGAGTAGCATCATCCGTGTTGGAGGTCGTCATGTATAGTAGCAAGAATATGAGATCGAGAAACATTGAACTGGAGCCGAAAATCCGTAGGTAAAGGTCAATGATGAATCGAACAACGAGCATCACAATAAGGGAAGATGAGAAGCAGGGGAGACAAAAGAAACCTAAACCCGGGGTGGAGGAAATCATGACGAGTGCTTTTTTCTTTTCCTCATAGACGTGAGCGTCTCCAGGATCTATCTCAAAGGCTAATCACTCGGCCGCTTTAGTGTATCGGGTGGCCGTGACGAATGGATGCCCGCGGGGAATCACTTGAACATGGACAGCGAAGCCTGTGTCTTGTGGATCTGGATGGGGTGTCAGCAGCAAAGGTGAACACTCACGGGTCGCGAAGGCATCGAGATGTTGATGAGTTTTCCATGTCGGGTAGAACCAGTTCAAAACGTCCAGGAGAGAATGAGGGAGGTCGTCAAGCATCTGAGCTCCTTGATCGGTGTCAATCATCATGTAGAAATCTGTCGCTGGTAGGTGTATCGACCATCGTTGTAACAGCGTGTCGGTAACCACGGTTTTGAGGTCTGAAACGAAATGACTGCGAGCATAATCCGGGTAGATCACCTTGAACGTCTGGAACAGGCTATCATAGGCGGCCGTGGAGAGGTTGCCCGCGACCTTGGGGGCCAGGATGTTGTAGTATGGGTTGCGGACGGCAAGTTGCTGCATCGGCTTCAGGTCCAATTGGAAAATAACCGGTCGATGGGGTGTCGTAGGTGGAGTCCGGTTGGGTGGGTGCTGAAATGATGAAGACCCCATAGCGGAGGACGGTGCCCTTGTTGGAGAGCGTGATCGTCGTGTAGGTGAGATCCTCTCGTGGGACATAGCTCGCAGTTGGCAATAGCGATCCAGGTGAATGCGGAGAGACATAGTAAATGGCTGGCGGGTTGTATGATATGACATGTCAAATTTCAATGGAGCAACAATGCCCGAGTTAGTGAAGGTCAAATAACGAAAGAACGAAAAAACTTTAGAGACGAAGAAAGCTGGGTGGTGAAGCAATAATACAGTGCCGCAGGCCAGCTTTTTCTTTGGTTCGCATATGTCGTTGGTCAGCCCAGTTTGTCTTTAATCTTATTCCACATAGAGCGAACATCTTCCTCGGACTTGCCCATCTTGGTCGAGATCACCCGCCATGAAAATCGAGACTTCTCGTCCGCCTTCAAAGTGCGTAGTTTCTGTTTGTCTTCAGAAGTCCAGAGTGACAGTGGGCTCGAGGAGCGGGATCGGGATTGGTCAAGTCGGCGACGACGTTTTGCAGGCGCTTTGGGAGCTGATTTGGCTTTCTGTTTGCGAGTCGGCGGTGATGGTGTTCTGGTAGAAAGCTTCGAAGGTGCAGGTAGGACTTCAGGTGACGGAGCGGCAACGTGGTGGTGTGGTTCAGGGAGATGGGTTTCCAAGAGTTCATCCATAAGTGCCTCGTCCTCCACGATATCCGGCGACGGGATGTGGGCATTGTCAATAAAGTCGTTGGTCTGGTCCGAGTAATGCGGTCGTAGCCCATCAGGTTGATTCCATACGTCGGTGCTGGGAAGAGGT